GCCGCGATTCCCGCTCGCTTGGGGCGTCCCTATCCCGCACTCGCGCATTCCCGCTCTCGCGGCGAGAGCACACACGCCGCCGCCGCCGGGTTCGCAGGTCCCCTAAATAAAGAGCGGGGGATGGGGGGCGGCGCGCGCTCAGAGCCAAGGAACTGTAGGCAGGTTTTCTTTCTCTCCACGGGCACGGGAAAAGGGCCAGCCCCGTGCGGTGCACGCCCGGCTCTGCTCGGCAGCTCGCGGGTGAGTGGGGAGCCGGCTGAGCAGAGGCGGCGCACTGTTGGGCTGTGTCACCATTTCTTCGCTTGCTGACCTGCCCTGGAGCGGGAGACGGCGGCGGCACCGCAGAGGTACGCTTTGCGCGCCCCCCTCCCTGCCTCCAGCCCCCTTCTAAAGCAATGCCGCCCCCCACCCCAGGGGAATGTTCACCGTGCAATCTGGCTCGCCTGCAAAGTTCTCGGGTGTCTGGCATCTTTTGAGGAGGAAGAAAATTGGTCCTGCCGCGGCCGGCCGGCCAGCCAGCGGGGAGGAGAAGTTCTCCCGGTACAGGGCGCAGCCCCGCGCCGGGGACGCGCCGTGCCTCCCGCGGGGCAGGCCAGGATGGAGCAGGAAGCTTTGCACCGGACCGGGGACTCCGGGGCCGTCATTGGCCGCGTCAGGCGCTTCCTCGTTTACCCTCGACCCCGGGGAGGACAGCAACAAGTCCTGCCCCAGCGATTTCATCACCCTGCGGGCACGTGCGGATTCCCCGCGCGCAGAACCCGGCGCGGACCTCGCCTCGCCTCGCCTCGCGCTCTCCTTTGCACATCCCGCGCCACCCCAAGAGTTCGCGCGGCCCTAGGTGGGCGCCCAGTTCCGGTCGAGGCGTCCGGGGCGCTCCGTAGGGGTGCCCAGTGTCGCCTCCCAGCAGCTCCCCGCCGCAGGGGCGCGCGCACTTACCTGTGTTCTGCAGGGACAGGCGGCCTTTCTGCTGCGAGCTTCTGTCTTGGAAACCCTCTGGCGGGCTGGTGGCGTCGGTCCCTCGCGCTAAGTCGAAGGTGGCCCACACCAAAGCCAGGGTCATGAACTGACCCAGCCGCTCGGCACACATGGTTCTTGGTGTAAGCCTCCCGCCCGGAGACCCGGAATCTTTGGGCTCCCCTCCCCCCTTCCTCCTCCTCCTCCTCCGCCGCTTCGCCTCCTCCTCCCACTCTTCCTCCTCGCTCGCCTTTTCTCTGCTCCTCGCGGCGGCCGCTCGGATAAGAGGTTACCCAGCGCCCTCCCGTAGCTCTCCCGAGAGCATGTGACCAGGCCGTTAGCAGCGCCGCGAGTGCGGGGCAATGGCAGGGATGGTGCCTCAAATATCCCTGGAAGCTCTGGTGTCACTTGAATGAAGGAGTCAAGCAGGTGTTGTCCCGGCCGCTGGACCAATCCGAGACCCTGGCCCGTTTGACAACACGGCCGGGAGGCGGGGCCTGCGCGCAACTACTACGGGAGGAAGCGGAGCGCCGCGGGGAGCGCCGACAAAGTTGGCGACCTGGTGGCGGCCACGCGTTGGCATGCGTGTGTGTGAGTGTGTGTGACGCGGCCGGAGATGCGTGCGCGTGTGCGGGGGCTCCAGGGCAATGGCTGACAGACTTAAAACATAAAAGCGAATCGCAGCTCTGGTTGCAGCTAAATAAAGGCGAGAGGGGACAGTCTCCACTGGGGGAGCGGCCCCCGGGGCCCTGGCTCGCATCACAGCCGCATCAGGCTGGGACAGTTTCCTCTTTCCGCCCTTTGGAATTCAGGGAGAGCCCCAGCCCCGAGGCCTGGACACACTGGAGGAGTTTCCTGGGCACAGTGATGCCGGGGGGCAAATTGAGCACATATGGGAATGCCCGGCGTCGTGACACTTTGCATTAAAAAACCCTCAAACTATTTATGATGGGAGCAGAAGCACTATAGGACTTCTTCCTTTATTTTTGCCCGTCTTTGGCGAGCCCTGCAACCCTTAGGGTGCCAGTTTCTCACCCCTTCCCCAAAGCTGACGGCTCTCGGGCCGACTGCAGGGATCCAGGTGACAGACCGGACTTGCCTCTTTTCCAGGCGGCCGGCAGGGAGGCCGAGGCGGCCCCGAGTCAGCCCGCCGCGGAGCATCGCTTGCCCCGGAGGCCGGAGCTTGAAAGGCAACAAAAAAAAAGCTCTTCCATTCCCCGAGCGCCACCCTAGCCGACCCGCTCCGCGATGCCTTGGCTCTCCAGTCCGCAGAGGCAAATGGGGGAGTAATCCCACCCCCAAGCAGAACCGAGGAAATTCTCCCCATCTTTCCTCCTTTCTTGTTGGAGCTCCCTCCCTCCCGAAGCATGGCCGGGGCTGGCCCGCCGAAGCCGGGAGAAAGTTGGGCGCCCCTTCCCCCGCTGTGTGTGTACGTGTGCACGCTCACGTCTCCCCGGCGCCTGGGCCGGGGACAGGAACTGCTCCGGGCACCTCAGTCCGACGGCGCAGCTCTGGGGTCTAGCAGGGCTGGGGGAGGGCGGGGACGCACTTGGATGAGCTTTTTGCATACAGATTAAACGCCCTCGCCCCTCCCCCTCCGGCTCCACCCTCCTGCCGGAGAACAGGTGAGCCCGGGGACCAGCTGCCACCCCCCTACCCCGCCCGGCTCCCAGCCCGCGCCCTCTGCGGTTTCATCACCCACTGCCCGCGGCGACGCGGCCCTGGGTCTCCGCGGCGGGACGCACTGCGCGCCTCGTTGGGGCCGCCATGTGACACGGTTGGGGGAGGGGGTGCAGAGACGCGCCGGCCGGGTCATCTTCCGGCCGCCGTTCGGCCTCCAGAGCTTCGCTCTCAGGGTCCCCGGTGCACTCGGGCGTAGGAGAGGCCCTCGGGGGGTGGGGGGAGGGAGGGGCGGGGAGGAGGAGCGGCAGGGTGGCCGCCGCTGGCCGAAGCCGTCCGGCGCGTCCCGCGGCTCTGAGTGGGGAGGACGGAGAGGAGGGGTGGGGAAGGCGCCCTCGGAGTGGGCTCTCCCCGAGGTTGCAGCCACCATCCCCGCCCGACTTCCAGAGCCCCAATAAATGGTCACTTTGAAGGTCCAGAGTCTGCAGAAGCGGTGCCAAGAAACTGACCATTCATGCCCATGATTCCAATGGCAATTACTTCTTGTAGCCTCAGATCTTTTGTGGCAGGAGGTGGGGTACAAGTGCATTAAAATGGGTGGTTCGAATTTCCCACCCTGCTTTTGTTTGCATAGTTAAGTTAGCTTCCTTTATTAGGTCATGAAAAACCGTCTCCTGGAAATGCTTAAAGGACAAAACATAACAAACACAACAGCAGCATTCTGGCCTCTCCCCAACTCCATAGGCCCCTGAATTTCTCAGAGAGACTTTCTTTTCATGGAGCCTGTTTCGTAGGTGAGAACATAAGCAGTATTGGCATTTAAAAAAGGCATCCGATCACTTGGTTCTTGGAGCAACTGAAATGAGAGAGGTCCGGGGGAGGAGCCAGCCCACCTTTGCTGGATGCAGACGCTCGGAGTCTACCTGATGGAAGGTGCTGAGGGCACCTGGAGCAGCCGCCAGGCAGGTGGAGATCTCCTGGCTTGTGCCTCCTCATGGCCTTTGGCTGGGTACTGCCTTTTGCCACCATGAGCCCCTAGGGCTGCCCTCCAAGGACCTGCATAACTTAATTCATCTTGGGGCTATATGCTCCAGCCTCCCCAGGGGACATTAGTGTCTCCTACCTGAGCCAACTGTCCCTTTAGAAGTAAAAGACAAATGGTACCTAGAGTCTGAGGTGTTGCAAGCACAGGTGATAGTTCTTAAAGGCCTCTTGGCTTGGGTCTAACATCCAGAGAGTTACCCACCCCAGTCAGTCCCATCAGGGCAGAGAAAATTCTGTGGAATCAGTAAGCAGTTTGCTGGGATTACTGGGCTGGGTCACAGGCGAGGGGTGGTGGGAGGATGGGGGCGGTTCGTAATGGGGAGGGGAGCTCAGCCTGGTTTGGCAGATTGTGGCTGACGTGTGGGGGTGGAGAGGGGACAGCAATAATAGTAACATTGTATTATTATAAAGCTGACATGAATTGAGAACAGACACCGTGTCACACACCGAGCTTGCGGCTTTGGTGTCTCTCTAGACCCGAGTCCGCCCTAGATGGCAATTGAGACTCGGGAGGAGGAAGGCCAGACCAGCTGGCGTTGGCCTGAGGTTCAGCTGGGAGCCTGCCTGGCGGGGCCCTCCTCAGTTTAAGGCCCAACCAGCCCTAGAGAGGGTGAGGCAGGCCTGCCTCGTGACACCCCAGGGCTTCTGTGGTTGATGCACCAGTTAAAGTCAGTTAAACACTTAGTAGTTCTTGGGGAAGAGGGAATCTGGGCTTGACTTTGAAAGGCGAGAGGAAACTGACAAGGAGCGGTCAGGAAAGGAGAGAGGGCATCACAGGAGGGAGGACCAGCATGGAGGGGATGTGGGGGGACTTGTATCTGGAAGAGGGGTTGCTCCATCGGGTGCTAAACTGGAAGGTAAAGCTGGCAGGGGCGTCCGGGGCCTTGTCAAGGCCTTTGTGACAAATCTGTGCTCACCGTGGGAGACCTTGTTCACTCCTCATCATGGCATTGAAGGATGAGACTCCGGGAAGCTGCGAGACTAGATGGCATTTTGGAATGTGAGGGGCCCAGCGCTGACACACACGAGAGGATTGGAAGGAGTGAGTTAGAATCTTGATGTGGGTTTCGATGCCTGGGCGGTGGCACAGGTGTTCTTGCTCAGGTGTGAGCAGCTGGGCCCCTGGAGGATGGGAGCAGTTGTTGGGCGACGAGGCAGGGACGCGGAGGTTGATCCACGCTGTCTAGACCAGGCTTTCTGCGAGTCCCAGAGCCTGCGTGGAAAATGTGCCTTCCACGTGCAGAGCTCCTGCTGCTGCACCCCCGCCCCCTTGGGGCTGCCTGTCTGGGCTGATGGCACCACCTTATGGTCAGAGAGGGTATCGTCTGACCAAACAGTGGATTCCTCCCCTACCTGCCCCCCCACCCCCGCCTCCCGGGGCCTGGGGCACTAAATATGGGGTCTCCTGCCTTCTTTTCAATTTCCCTAGCAAATCAGTTAATGCTGATTTAGGCGATCGTCTAAACAACGACACGCTTTAATTGTTCCGTCCAGGAAATCTCTTTGAAACGTTTTTGCTTTTCCTTCCCCATCCTTTGCCATCTTAACACATGAGCCTCAAATCTGCTCTAATCGTGGCTCCTTCGGGGCACGCCTGCACAAAGCAAGCGAATAAAAGGAACCACAGTGCAACTGGAAAAGACAAAATAACACCCTGCCACGACCAGCTTTCAGGATTCTTGAAAGCAGAAGTCTCGCCCTACAAAAGTCTCCATGTTTCCCCTTTATCTTCTTTCAATACACCGGTGGTTTCGTTATGTAGAATTCAGGGTAAAGGAGACTCTGTCTTCAGCATTCGAGCTTGTTAGTGCTGCAGCAAATTTGCTTTCTACGAATTTTTACTGCGGAAGTCCAGGGCTTCAGCGACATTATGAGTTAAGGATGCTTCTGTGGGGCTGGTCCGGAAACCATTTATAATATGTTTATTGGAGGAAAATATATTCTGAGCTCCCAAAACAACCAACTCCTACAGTTTTGGAACACACCACTTTTGCGCATTGGACATTTCCTCTGTGTCATCGATTCATAGTCAAACTGTATTCCTGGATTGACTGAAAACATAAAAGATAAAAAAGAAGTAAAAAAAAAAAAAAAAAAAACCCAGGAGAACGGGAACTCTGTCTCCCTCACAATAAGTTCATTTACCGGAAAGAATATAGAAGCTGTAAATATTGGGTGTCTGGTTGTGGTCTGAGTTTTGTTAGTGCCTTGCCCTGAAGTCTGAACAGTATTTAGAAACACGCTCTGTTTTCTTTGGATCGTAAGTCTTGCTTCCTCATCGTGTGCCCAAGCGAACTCAGGAGGGGCTGTCCGGGCCGAGGGGCTGCCCGGTCCCCGTGGGCAGTGCTGGCGGAGCGCAGAGCTGGGCATCCTGCTGTCAGCGTGCTCTGGACCTCTCTGAGACGGGGCTTCAATGTTGGTCTGCGAACTGTCGATTTCAAGCAGGTGAAGGAAGAGTGTTTTTGTGGGGCAGTTTTCCGGTGACCCAGATTTTGCAAATCTTCACAAAACAACGAAATCTATTAATGCAGTTTAACCATCAGTATATAACCAGGGTCCATCGAACTGAATTTTAGTTTTTTGTTTTTTTTTTTCCCTGAGCAGTTAAAACTATTCGTGAATGTTGACATTTCATGACTTCTGTTCTTTTGAAAAGAAACCTTCCAAAGATCAAAGAGAGCGTTTACTTTTTAACAAAAAACAAAATAAAACTCATTCTGTCTTGAATTTCCCACGTGGGACCATTGGAACCATTTATAAGTCTAAGATATTTCATGGGATCTTAGTGATCATATTTTTCTTGTATCTTGAATTATTTTCTGTTTTATTATCTCAGGAATTATTTCATC